AAAATGTGTCGAGAAATGGTATAAAAATTGACCGTAAAAAATGCTGCTCAACATTTTCAGCTGGAACATTATTCCTAGTTTTTTGGCGATTAATTTTTTTGGAAGTGAAAAATCAGAAATACCAATTTGTTCACAAGTTTTCTTAACAGTTTCAAATAATTTCATAAATTCATTTTCACTGTTAATACGAAGTTGTTCAATTAAATTCTCAACAGATGAAGCAGCATCTAATGTAGTTTTTAAATCTGAATTTTCTAGTTGCAAACTACGACTCAAACCAACACTAATAGATAGGACTTTAGTTAAAACGTAAAGAGAAACTTGAAATTGTAATTTTTTAATAGCACATAATAATTGATCTGCCTGAGATGATATATTACTAGAAATCCAAGAATATTCTTCAATAGATCCAGTACTTGAATTATTAGATATTTCTAACACACTGACTACAGCGAGCTGCATCTCTTCATATAAAATAACAGCATCGTGGCGCTGTACCCAACGCGTTGGACACATTTGTTTCAACCTGCTAGCTTTAGAACTAGGAAACAAATCTTTAATACATCTTTGAAGCACCTCAAGTCGTTTTGGGTATCCAAAAAAATTACAAATTGATTGTATGGTACCTATCGTATTACGAATTTCCGGGATATTACAAGAATCAGAAATTACCAAATTCAGGCAATGAGCGCTACAATGGATGTAATAAGCTAGTGGATAAATTTCACGAATTCTAGTTTGTACACCTTTAAACTGTCCGCTCATAGCAGCAGCTCCGTCGTAACCTTGGCCGATCATAAATTTGGGGTTTATACCAAAACTTGAGATACTTTCTAAAATAGTATCAGCAAGACCTTTACCACTGACATCATTAACTTGTACAAATTGAAGAAAGTCTTCTCTTATCTTTTTTTCACCATCATCAAAATATCTTATACAAATTGAAAGTTGTTCCTTTGTAGATACATCCATTGTTTCGTCTGCTAATAAAGCAAAACATTCAGCATTATTAATTTGGTCCACTAATTTTTTTAGAATAATATTGTTACAACTTGATATTATTTCATTCTGTACTCTAGGACTAATGTAAGTAGCATTTTTGGAAGCAGTATTTAGATGGTTTTCCAAATCGCAATCACCTGCATCAATTCTAAACTTCAAAAGAGCACRAAAATTACCTTCATTTAGTGTTTTATCATCTTCATTTGAATWATCAACTTTAGTTTGTAAAGATTTAAGACCATGATCAAAATGCCCTCTCAAAGCCAGTCCTTGTCGCCCACATAATAATACAGTTTTTATAATTGGAAGTATTTTTTTACGATTTTCCAAAACTTCTTTTTTTTTTGGCTTCATTTAACTGCAGATCTATAGATATGGATTTTTTTTCTTTTATAGATAGGACATTTTTTTCTTGTAACTGATTAAACTTGTGATAGTCGGTTTTTTCATGTTTTTTAAAATCTTCTTTAGCATTTTTCCAGTGGTCATATTTATCCAAAACCAAGCGACCAGTAGCTTCGTGTGATCCCTTACCTACACATATATTAGGAGAAGGAAWAAAAATACAAATTTTACAATAAGCACCATCTTCAATGTCAGAGGAAGCCAACCATTTGAATTCATACAACCAGCAGTGTTGAAATTTCAAATTTCTTTTACCAGATTTTGGGAAGT